AATCCTCATCAGCACATGATAAAGTGTCTTCCTTTAATCACATCACGTTACCGAATATGAGAGACGTATCCTTTGATCATGTCAGCCATTACGGTCTTTGGTCAACCCACAATGGTGAATATATTACACTGCCATTTACTGGTGCAACCAGTTTATTTGTGTGTCGGAAGCTTATCTGAATTACAAAGAGTACAGAAAAAAGAAAATCGAAGCAAGAAAAAGATTTCAATACAAAATCAGAGAAAATAACACAGACATCTTAAAAAGAAAAAATATAAGAAAGAAATGTTATATGAATGCTAACGGGTACATGATATAAGCAACCTTAGTTCTGATAGAATCCACTGATCGATATATATATATATATATATATATATATATATATATAGAGAGAGAGAGAGAGAGAGAGAGAGAGAGAGAGAGAGAGAGAATAATGGATAGATAGATGTGGAAGTATGCTGGATGGGCACACACATGCACAAATACACACATATGTGCTTGCGCTCGCGTGCGTATGTCTATATGCGTGTGTGCGAACAGGTTTTGCACTCAGAAGAAGTCTGGTGCAGGAAGGACCTTAGAGATGATCGGTGGTGGACATCCGAGCTTCACTCGATATCAATATCTGCCCTTCCTATATATTTAGGCAGCATATATTTATACGAGCAGCTTTGGTTATTTAAACTTATGTCTATTTATTTTAGTTTTAATCCTTTCAAGTCCACGAATTAATTTTTTCGTGGTTGTAGAAAATTGATTAAGAAAAATACCAAAATTTTCTTTCAAATAATTTTTATTTTCCCCAAGTACTTTCAATCTCATATATGACCATCTTCAGGGGGTTAAGATATCTGTGGATGTGTATACAGTAGATGCGTGAATTCAAAATATTTTCATTGTTCGTTTACAGCGTTTCAAAGCCGAATATGTAAGGGTGAGTGACTTTGTAATTATTTATTTTAATATTGAAAAATGAAAAAAATCTAGTGTTTTAGTTATAATATTTTAATTTATTATTTTATATAAAAACTTTGCTGCTACAAATGTTTAAGAACTTTGTTTATATTCTCCTAGTTGACTTGATTTATTTTTGGCTGCACTTCTCTTATATAAAAGGTTTCCAGAATTTTAAGTTTTTTCTTATTATTATTCTGATGAAGTACTAAGGTATTTTCGACTAATATCTGTCTAAACTGTGAATATCGACATGAGTGTTCCTTTAAATGTTCTGAGATTGAAATAGGACCAGTCAAATGAAACGTAAGCCGTCTTGTCAACGATAAAAACTAAATATATATATATATATGTGAGTGTATGTGTTTCTGTGCGTGTGTGTGTGTCTTTTAGGATTAGTGTTACAAAACGGAAAAACGTAAGAATGTTGGAAATACTAAATGAAAAATAAATGAAATCGTATTTGTCTGGCATATTTAATGTAAGATATTCAAAAGAAAGGTAGCTGACCAAATATATATATATATATATATATATATATATATATATATATATATATATATAATAATAATAATAATAATAATAATCTCCGAGTATTTAAGCTTAAATCCCATTATATTTTCATTTGTTGTTTCTATCTTTTTTTTAAAATTAATTAAATTTACGATAATTTTGTTTGTTTATTTTTATACTATTTTACAATTTATGTGGCTTTCTAGTATTTTTGTTTGCCTAACGTATTTATAAATTTGAAAATTAGTTATTTTTTTGTTTTGTTTCTAAAACACGTAATCTATATAATGTTTATAAACGCATTATATATGTTCCAAAGATTGTCATAGCCAGGGATGATAGTGATGACAAACTACTACTGTCTAAGTGCTTCCGTGGTTTGTATCTTAAATATCTTCTAAACTAAGTTCAGCTCCAAGCTGGAGAATAGGCGAAGGAGGAAAACTAGCACCTCATAACCACCTGCCTCGTATGGATGGAGCCCGACAGCCCAGGAAGGTAATCTAGGGGAACGAAATCCTTGATTTTAAACTTAAGCTAATTTACGGCCACAAAAAAGCTATGGAGGTAAATCCAGAAAAAAAAAACCCCGAAGTGGGATGCCGAAGACGTTTGACGGTTAACATTGACAGCATTCCGGCAACTCCTAGAGCCAAGCATTCTCCAAATAAAATACCCTGTATGCCTTTAGAATAAGGCCATGTAGTCTTAGCAGGGCACGGCCACCATATACCATCGGCCAGGCCGGCACCCTGGAGGACTCACTCCAGTTTCACCGCCAACGGACTGAATTTTCTATCAAATAGGGCGCTACTTTTATCTTGAGAGATAAACGAATGCCTACTACATATATTAACGAATTTATTTTTAATCCGACAATTGGATTACTTCAACGTTATTATAGTGGATATTCGTATTTGAAATAGACGCCCCATTTTTATATTAAACAGTATCTATTAGGTTTATCGGCTTGCGCATTCAAGAAATATTAATAAAGAAATCACCGTTTGATTCTGCGGGCCTTATAGAGCTTTGCTAAACTGTGCCACTCACTGTGACTGAGCGATCAAGGACGCTGGATCAAAGGAGATAGAGGTATTGATTTCTGTCAGAGGGGCGCATTTTCTTTATTTAGATTTCTCGAATGTTCAGTGGGGGATAGGCCTAATACATACAGTTTTCAAATACAAAATACAAATGGAGCGGGTATTTCAATTGCGATAATAAGAATAATAACTAGCGCGCAAGCGCGCACACATAAACACACACATAGACCCTGTGAAAGAAAAAAAATCAACCTTGCACCAATGAAAAGTGCATATATATATATATATATACTAGCTTAAAAGCTGCCCTATCAAGCGGCATTTAAGCTAGCTCCTGCGGAGGGATTCTTGGTTAGTCCTTCGGCTCAACAATGATATTTCATGCATTGAGTACATATTAAATTTAACTTAAATTTAACAATATTTTTAAACAACAGTTTTCATAAAAACAATGTTATTATTTGTCTATTTGGAACTTATTGCAAAGGTGCATGATAAACAACATTTTTGGTTTTTCCATTCGGAGTTAGTATAAATATGTTGTTTCTATTCCAACCCCTTGAACAACCAACATAGAGCTGGTTGTGAGAAAAGCAGGATTCCATAAGATGAAGTCCACTTACTTTCAATGATTGTCATTGTGACTTATTGATTGACATTGCATAACTCAGTCTCACTGGAAATTGAAGTCTTTTGAACTCAAAAGGAAGATCTGGAGGAATTAAGGCGATACTTGGAATTAAAACTCTTTCCTCCTTTTTTGGACCAGTAAAGATCTCTGCTTCCAAGAGATGAGGAAGACATATATTATTTTATAAACAGAGCATGTACTTAAATATTTGTATCTATAAAAATAACGTATAAACAGAAAATATATTAAAATAATTGTCGGACTTTCATAATATGTATATGATGTCATTTGTTTATGTTAAGATACGCCTCGGGCAGATATGAGCGTTCGAGAGAAATCGTGGGAAATTTGTAGTTTAAAAACAGTAATTTAACTTTGCTAATCAGACGTTTTCCCTGTAGCAAAATGGTATAGCATGTCAGGCTATATGACAGTTCCGTGTAGGATACAGGTTCGATTTCTGTCGGAGGAAACATATTTTCTATGATATTTCTCGGGAATTCAGGCCGGTAAATGCAGTTAATACTGTTTATTATAAAAAGAGCATTTACTTAGATATTTGTATCTATAAAAATAACATATAAACTGAATATATATATATATATATATATATATATATATATATATATATATATATATACATACCTGCACACACACACACACACACATATGTGTGTGTGTGTGTGTAAAATGGACATCAACACCCAGATGCGATAGTCTGTTTAATGCTAAATTCAATCGTCAGACCAATGTCCACTTGTATATTTACACACGCTTTATCCCTGATATTGAGCACTTTGACCCATAAATATAGCATATCTTCAAAGTATATTTTATCAAATATATATATACATATGTATATATATATATATATAAATATATATATATATTTTTTTTTTAAGCATTGTGCCCCAAGCAAGGCGTGAAGCCACTAGGATGCAGGGGGTTGCGGAAGATTTGGAGCGAGAGCAGATAAGAGTGATAGGAGAAAGGAAGAGGAGAAGGATAGTGGGTAGATCAAGGTAATTGGAGATGTCGATTGACATTACATTTAAATAGTTGGAGATTATAGCTTTCAGGGAAACAGTGATTGGGGAGGGTGTTCCACTGGCGAGAGGTGCGAGGTATGAAGCTATTGGAGTAGAAGAGACGGCTACATTTGAAGGTTTCTACGGTGTAAGGGTGAGAGCGGGATGCCAGCCTCGTAGGGCGCTTGAATTCATGGAGTCTGGGAACCAGAGAGAGCAGCTCATCAGAGCAGTTACCATGGAAGTATTTGTAGAAAAGACAGAGAGAGGCGACGGCACGTCTGTGAGAGAGTGACTGCAAACAAGACGCTAGATCATACACACACACACACCCATACACACACACACACACACACACACACACACACACACACATATATATATATATATATATATATATATATATATATGAAGATAATCGGATGCCAATTTTGGCGCAAACTGCATCCGTAAAATGTTCTGCAAGGATTGAACTCTTGTCTTTAAAAACACCACCAAGCTGAAAACTGTACTATAATTGTGTATAAATGAACTGCCAAGCATGTATACACACATCTTCAGCGACCATAACATTGATATTTAATCTAGAGCGGTATGGTTAAAGTGACATGGATTTAACCTCGCAAATAATATTATATGAAAACAGTGAGACATATGTCAGTCTAGATTCATATTCATGCAGATATTTGCATGTATGGTATAATGAACGGAGAATATACCGATCAAAACAAATGTCAATATGCGTTCAATCTCTGATGATGTAATAATTTCTGACAGTTTTTCTTCTCCTGTCTTGAAGAATTTAAAGATGTTGACAAGTGACAGACCATGCATTTCTCATTTTATTCGTATTCATTTTTGCAATTTTTTCGTTTTAGATTTCATCAATATTTTTTTCTTCTTCCATCATCATACTCTCCCTTATTTTCCGTTTGTTCTATACACGTTATAACTTTTTTTTTGCTTTTTCCTATTTTCCATTTTTGAAAAGGTTTTCATTCTTATTTCAATACCATTTTTCTTTTGTTTTTAGTTCAATATTTTTATCGGGTTCCTGTCTCCCATTTAAAGTCGTCTGCTCTCCTTTTAGGTTACATTTTCCTTTGTCGATACGCATTTCTTTTTTTTTATTTTTTCATAAATTTATTTGATTTTTACATGTTTTGCACTTATTTTCGTTTCTATTATTCTTTCAATTTTTTATTATTTTGTTCTTCTATTCATGGCCTTGTTTTTTTTTTTTCTGTGATTTGTATCTTCTTGGCAACATTTCTTCGTTTTCATTTATTTTAGTTAATTACCTCTGTCTTTTTAAAGCATTTTCTTCATTATATTGGGTAATTATCTCTTTCGTTGTCATTGTTTCATCTTTATTACCTTCTCTCTCATTAATTCTTTAGCCTTTCTTTCTTTTGCCATCGTTGATTAATTCTTGTTTTTCGTTTCTTCCGTTCAGTGTCGTTGATTTTCGCAATTCTTTTCATTCATTGTACTCGAATGTCTATTCCAATTTCTTTCGTTGCTTTTGTCATTTCTTACTTTCATCGTTTTATTTCACCTTCAATCATTGTCTTTCATTCTTTCCTTATTCATTCATTCATTCATTCGTTATTTATTCTATTTCTTTCTTCTTATTCACTTCATTATTCTTTCGTGCTTTATCCGCGAGTCTCACTCATTTAATTTACTTTTATTACTTATTTTTCAGTTCTTCATTTTTCTTTTTTGCTTTATCTCTTATTCAGCTTCCTTTATTTTATTCATTGCTTTATATTTACTTATTTTTCGGTTCCTCTTTTTGCTTTTCTACCTCATTCTTCATTCTCCAGCATTAATTTCCTTCATCAACTTTTTCTTTCTCACTTTTTATTTCCATTCCTTATCTGTGAATCTCTGTCCTTTATTTTTTTTATTTCTCTTTTATTCTTTATTTTCCTTTCCCTCTTTTTTCTTTCCTTCATTATTTTTTCACTTTTATTTCCTTCATTCCCCTTCATTCCTTATGTTTCTACCCGTCTTTTTCTTTCTTTGTTTTCTCTTCATTCGCCTTCTTTTCTTTTCTTCATTTCTTTTTTCTTCCTTTCTTATCTTTCTTTCCACTTCTTTCTCTTCCATTCACATAAATAATATCCGATTGCAACAATAGATTGAAAAACTGCACATCTACCTGCTAATTCTGCAACAAGAGTGCAGATCTCTCTATGGTGCTCAGTCCCCGCTCCACTCCACGTTCTCCTCTAATCTGGATTAACAGATTTCGAAGGAATGCTTACGTTTTTCCGAGAAATTTTGATTATCGTTTTAGTACAAAGGATTAACGAGACTTGTTATTTACAAGTGTAGATTAGTTTGGGCACAAGGCCACACATATATGGGACACACGGTGAGGATAGATCTCGTTTTTAATGATCTGTATGTCCAGCTTAACAACAATTATTACATGATGAGAATCATTGGGTTTAACGAGAGCTTAGATGATCTCCTTTAAAGATATTGTTGTTTTCGTTCCCGTGGCAGTTTTTTGTGTTTGTTTGTTGTTGTTTCAGTAGTTATTGTTGCTTTTTTTTGTTCCAATTTGTTGTTGTTGGCTTTTGCTTTTTTATTGTTTTTACCGTACATGTTAGTACAGTTGCTTTTGTTAATATTTAACAGCCCTCTACCCGACGAGGGATATATGTGGCACAAGGCCGAGTTTAACGTGGGTCATCCGAGCCCGTAGGCTCGACCAAAAAATCCCCGTAGAACCCGTATAAACGGGTTCGGGTCTGTCTACCTCCCCGAACGAGACTCTGCTCTTCAGCACAGCCTCGTTCAGTTTTCTCTCTGCCCAAGACAAGAGAGTTCGACAGTAACTGCCAACAGCCTAAGTAAAACAAACTATATCACTGTTTCCCCTACAGTTGTTTCTGTTGCTGTTTTGTTGTTACTCTTGTTACTGCTGATGTAGTTGACTTATGTTGATCATACTTGGAACGTCGCTACTATTGTTACTTTTGTTATTGTTGTTACTTTTGTTTCTGTTACTCTTGTCAAAACAGTCTCAATTCTTTCTCCTTGTTTACTATCGCTTCTTACTTCCTCGCTGTTTCTAAAATATCTCTTCTCTTTTATTTCTGTTACTTTTGTATAAAACTACTTTTATTCTTTGTCTTCTATGACAATAATCTCTTCTTTCTGTTTTCACGTTTTCATTGTATTAAACCTCAGTTGTTGAATGCAGTATGAAACCCTTACCTGTCTTTCTCCCCAGGTTTTAAAGCCAGTTTATTGTTTTCCTTCAAAATGTTTGAACTCAACCCAGGCACTTCGGTTGCATTCATGACCTGTTTCTTTTTTATTTGGACCAATGAATCTCTTAAAGAAAAGATTTCTCCTTGCACTAAAACCAAGAATGTTCATTAATCTCCAATGAGGAATGCTTTTACTTTTATTACAATGAAAAAAAAATTATAATTTTTGTCGCTATTTACGAACACAAGTATAATCTCTCTATATAGAACTCTACAGCTAATGACAAGACTTTGAAATGCTGACATGGCTACAAACAAAAAGTTTCATCGGTGCAACATGTCACTTGTTTTACGAATAGTAATTCATTACTATGTCTCAAAATTTCTTTGCATAAAAATTTGCATGTACTAAAAATAATAGTTATGAAGTGAGATTTTTATTATCGTTTTTTATTTATAGTATTCTTTTAACATTTAATTCAACTGATTAAGATTGTCCTTGCAGAGTTTCCATATAAATAACAACTGTTAACTTTTAAAATAACGAAAAATTTTACACAAATATGTTTAAAAATGTATTCAAAATGTTCTGTAGAAACGTTGTTTAGAGTTCACAGTTTTATATCAATTAAAATGTTCAGCAAGTATGTATGCATATGAAAGAGAGGGAGGTTGTTCATGTACATACACCAAGAAGGCAGTGGGTTAACGGCTGGACCAGTTTAGATGTAGCCATTAGTCGTATTTCTTTGAAGTCGCCGTGGTACCAATTCAGTCCTTTGACATGAATGAAACTTCTGCTACTAAACTTTTCCAGTTCTTTTTAATTTGTTTTTGGATAAACTACTGGCTCCCAGGATTAGAGGTTTTGAAAATTATATGGAACAGTTTTATTGATTTATATTTCTGTCTGAACATGTGAATCGTTCTTGACTACGTCCAGCGAAATCAAACCAGATAAAATGAGGAGGATATACTTTTTCTTTTAGAAACAAGGTGCACGTGTTTTGTCCATTTTCGTACTTGTCTGGTTTGTTTCTAATTGTTTGTTTCCTGTGAGTAATCAGTTTTTTTTTTGTTTTGTTTTTTGTGACGGCATGTATTTGTTAATCATTTCACTGCAAGCAAGATAATAAAGCCACAAAGACGCAAGGAGATACGGAGTATGAGACTGACATTTTTGTAAATATTTGTAGATCAAAGGTCACTGGAAATCAAGAAGCCGAAAGAGAGTTCCACAAGAGACAAGTACGAGGGAAGAAACTATTAGCATAGAACTTACGGTCACATCTAGAGATTAACATCATCCATGTTGATGGAAGGCAAAAAGGTTCTCTAAAACAAGCAGAAGAGGATTTCAAACACGCAGCACAGCAAGACGCAGCAAGGCATTTATTGTAGGGTTTACAGAGAACACAATTGCATTTCTTTAGGACTACTGCAGAGATATCGAACATGTCATCAAATATGTGCCAGAAGTTTGATTTTAGAGATAAAGGTTTTGACGTTTTCAAGAGCAATGCTGAGAAAAGTTTGACCTAAAACGATCTTGAGTTCTTCTCATCCTTGTCTTCTTATTCTTCTTATTACATAAAATCTACCCTATTTCATTACAATGAATAACACGTCTCCTCTGAGATTAAGCACACACATTCAAGACATTTTGAAAAACAGTGAGTATAGAAATCAGAACACACGATATGAAATCACACGATGTGAAAATATATTTATTGAAAATTATAAATAAAAAATGTAATAAATTGAATTAGTAACCGAGGAATAACTAAAATATATATGACCGTGTATGGGCTGTATATATATATATATATATATATATATATATATATATATATATATATATATAATCAAGTGTTACTGATGTGGTTTTCTTAACAAGTACGCAAGCAGCAATACCTAACGTTGCGAGGCTGTTGTGGCCTTATATTATACTGAGAGTTAGCAACAACTACAACAACATATATATGATGTTATGGCAAGTATGGACTTGGTTTATACAAGGAACGTGAATAGATATATTTGTATTAGCGTGCAGAGAACGATAAACTAATAAGCAACACACGTAGTTTGAAGAACACCAAAAACGCATGAAAAAGTAGAGATGCAAAGAACGAGAACGAGTCTAATAGTCTCTGAAAATTTCAGTAATACACTTCTAAAATCTAGAATCTATCCAGATGAAGAAGTGTGGGAAAAATAACTGCCATTATATTCAAGGTAAGGTTAAAATTACGGAAATTAAGAAAATGTAAAGTAACATCTAAACTAAAACAGAGAAGTAAGATGACTCAATTTGGCGAACAAAGATGCACTGACAGAATAAAAGCAAATATAAGTGCTGAGAAAAGATGAGTAATTGAGAGTGGAACACATTAAGGGAATCATGAGTGACATCGGAAAATGCGATCATCACAAGGAAAGAGAGACAAAAAAAATAAAACATGGCTGACAGATGAAATTCTCGACCTTATTGAAATGAAGACATCGGAATACACACAGTACAGTGTGCGATTGGTAAATTGCCGCCATTTTATATTTTTTTACTTTTGGCGCATGCGCATTGTTTGTTTTTGATTTTGTCGACTGCACAGTATAGCAGAGTCAGCCTGTAAGAAAAAGATCATCATGACGTAATTCATTCCGCCAGAAATTTGGAAACGGCATGATATACTATTTGGCATTCACGCTGGAAGTTCCAATACAAACATTTCAGAGTGTTTGGGTTTCAATCTGAGGATAGTGCAGACGATTCAGAAAGATTTGGATGAGTCTAACTGTGATTACGAAGAAAAATAAAAAAACATCTGAATTTATTAGTGAGGGCCTCAGACTCAACACGGATGCCCGACATCAAATTCCTTGACGAGGTAGTGCTGCCCTGGGTCAAAAGGGTGGCTGCTGGAAGACCCTACGTCTAGCAACAGGACTCGTCACCTTGCCACATAAACAGGAGAAGCCAGTCATGTCAGTCAGACAATCTTTGTGACCACTTCACACCTTACATCTGTCTACCTAACTCCCTTGATTATAATGTGTGGGACGCAGTTGAGCGAAGGATCAACAAAACTCCTTGTAACACCAAAGATGAAGTAAAATCAAGGAATTATGGCAGCATTCACCAACTTAGAGGGTTGAAGGAGATTCTCATGTCGTCATCGTTGAAACAAATGGCGATTTTATTGAATAAATTTACTCTTTAGTATTTCAAGATATTTTTGTATAATTTTTGGTAAAGACAATACTTATTATTTTCATTTTTGCATAATTTAGATGACAATTTAGCTATCGCATCTTGTATATAGGATGTTAAATAAAAGCATTAAAATGAAATGTAAACTGACTATAGTTTAATGTCAAATGAGAAGTGTGTAGAAATAGAAACACTGTGGAGCATAAACATAGCAGACATCTTTAAAAAAAGAACGAAAGAAACAGTAAAACAAAATTCTCTTATTCTTCTTTGTGTCGAGTCCCTTCAGGGCGTTGATGATCATGGCTCTTCACAATTTCCTGTCCTTTGTAGCTCTTAATCAATGTTATCTTTTTGGTATCTCTCCTAAATCCTGTTCTGCTATATATTAAACATTATAGTATATTCAGCATCCTTTTGTACAAGCACATTTGTGTTGCCTCATGTTCCTTCTTCATCTGTAAGGACATTGTCCAGCATTCACTGCCATATATGAGGACTGATATTATGTAACAAATGGCAATAATTTCAATAAACAGATTATAGCCAAAACTCATTCGATTCATTAAGCAAAAATAAACGACACCTTTTTTTCATTTTCAACATTAGCATTTTTTTGTCTTTCTGCCAATTATATAATTTCATTGTCATTGAATTTTTTTTTTATCTTCCTCAACAAAGAACATCTTTAGGTAATTTCTGCATTCGTGGACGGACTTAAAAAGTTATTATTTTTAAATTTTATTTTATACATAACAACTAACTTAACTAAATTGGTGTAAAAGATTTTGAACACTTTATTTAGATATTTTGAGTATGTTGGCTGCCTTCCATGTCATATAAGATTGATTATTATTTTCAATCAGACACTAGCAACCGTCGAACATTGTTCTACATGAAATATGCATTTTAAACATATTCAGCCATTCACGCTTCCTTCTCAATAAACTATTGAAAACTATATATATATATATATATATATGTGTGTGTGTGTGCGTGTGTGTACGTGTATGAGAGGGAGAGAAGAGGGAAAAATGGCTTTTATCCATCTTCAATGTGAAAATCAATAAAAAAAAATCTCTAATTTAGTATTTTAAAATGCACGCTGTTAGAAAAGCGGTTAAAATCTAATGAAAATTGATGTTTTTGACTGAATTTATTGAAATGAAATGTTTCTAATGCAACGAACAGAGAATTTTTTTTTTTTTTAGGCCACCCTCAAAGAAATAAATAGAAAATCAATTGTGTATATCATAATCATTCTTCATCTGTTCGTTTTGAAAACTATTGAATGTAAAAAAAATGGCATCGTTTCCTGATGACATTTTTTAAACTATTGTCATTATAATAGATGAATATTTTTTAAAAAGTGCCTCCTTGATTTTTGGATGGATAATTAGTGCATTGCATCTAAAGAAAGAATTGGACTAATTAGCCAACATGGCTGGACGTATTGCATTAACACTTAGTCTTTAGATGATAGTTTTTTATCGATTTGGATTGATGAAATAACTCATAGAACTAAAAGTGAGCGAAGAGAGAGGGATATATAGATAGATAGATAGATAGATAGAGAGAGAGAGAGAGAGAGAGAGAGAGAGAAACGAACGGAAGAGAGGAGTTAGAGAGGAATTTAATATGCAAATTTTGGTACCTTTTTACAACCCTCTCAATCTTTCTCTTTCTGTCTGTCTCTATTTTTATAAGGCAGCACCTGATTTTGGAGACACGATTGCCCGAAGGAAGATGGTGTGTACTCACATACCGGATCACATAACTAAGAAAAGTGATGACAAAAATAATGAATCTATAAAGTCAATTCTTTACAAATTTCATTAAAGAATAACGGAAACCAATTTTTCAATGAGAGAGAAAGTGAGAGTGAAATTGGGGGGAGGGAGAGAAATAATGAAAGTAATAAAAGTGATCAAGTATTCTGTTGAATTAGCGATACCAAAATTCAACTAAAATCCGTGTTTCTATATCAGAATTGGAATGTGATAAGGTTTATATATATATATATATATATATATATATATATATATATATATATATGTGTGTGTGTGTGTGTGTGTGTGTGTGTGTGTGTGTGTGTGTGTTACTTTTAGAATGAGTAAGAGATATATAAATTATGTTACGTAAATCGATGAAAAATTTGAAAAATAATCGTGCGACGTCTTTCGTCCTTTACGATTTTATCGACATTTCAGCGTCCCTTCTCCTTTCCACTTTTTAATGGCTCTTTCGCCATTAAAAATTTTACAATAATTGTTTTCATTTTTTAAATTTTAATTATAATAATTTATAATATATGAATCTTTTAAAATTCTGCATTACTTTCATCCAGTTAGGTGATATTGTTATTGAGTAAAATTATATTTACTAATCAAATATTGAAAAGCTTAATGTCAAAAATTTTGCACCAAGATTTTTAAAATAATATTTTATGCATATAAAATATTATATAACGTGCCCATTTTTGAAAGTATGGCCGACTATACACGACATTATCAGAAAATAAGAGCGATATAGTAAATTTAAAGTCAATATTCCTAAAATTAGATTACGGAGAATATTTTCCAACATCTTAAAGATTATTGAGTACTTAAAAATTATATAAAAAAGTGTCTCACCCTTCATTTTCTTAAACTATATTTTAACAGATAAAGTCTCCGTAGAACAACAATAAACTTGTCGTCAACTTTATCAGCACTTGATTGACGAGCGATGACAAACACGTATTCACCGCGATGGTTTGTTTTAAAAATTTATTTCTCTGTTATTTTAAATTTAATTTTTTTTTTCAAAATCAGATTAATTATACTTTAAATCAGCTAATATTCCTCAAATAAAGTTTCAGAAAAGTATATTTAATTTTTGGGTGATTTTTTTAATACAGAGAATTACATTGCGATGAAAGACAACTAAATAGGGCGCTCATCAGCTATTTTAGAAAAATCGATTCAATTCAGTATAATTTCTGTTTGAAATACACCAGATTATTTTGCTTACTGGAAAGAGTAAATTTAATCCGTTAGCTTTCAATTAAAGCTAAAATGAAATCTTCAAGAAAGCTTCTTCATTTATAAAAATTCATTTTAGACCAATATATCGAAAATTAGTGAAGGTAACTGGGTTAGTGGGTGTGTAAGAATTCGAAAACAGGAAGATTACTAAGGAACGGGAAGAAAGGAAGAGTAATCAGGAGGACAGCAGAAATGATTTCACGCCCAAATGATTTTTGAAGTCAAATTTGTCCTTCCTAACTGGCTATTAAGCAAAACTCAGCTCAAACTGCCCTACCATTAATCACTAGCTGGAAAGAGAAGAGAAGGATAACTGTGAAAAAGCGAGCACAATGCCCTCGGCTGGAATTCGAACTCCGCACGCCAACCCGACATTTCAAAAATCATTTCACCCCGAGCAAGGCAATAAGTCCATTAAGACGGAAGGAAATAGTGTAACTGAGAAAATGGTATTGGAGAGAGGCAGCAATAAAATAACAGGATTCAAAAAGACAGATGATGATGAGTGACGTTGCATTTCAACTTTTGTTCAGACAAAAAATTCAATATAATTGATAGATGCGAATTTTTTTGTAAATGCGCATGAAACGCTCCATCTTATAATTATAACACGTATGAACGCGCCCCGTTAAAATTAATTTAAAATTAACTGTTAAAGATATTATGCTTTTTATGTTTTCTTTTTTGTATCTAAGGGAGGTAACTTTAAATTATATAATTGTAAATTTTTATAATTACAATTTAAATATTTTAAAACATTGTTCCTGTACTGATAACTAGCCTTATTTAGTGTTGGTTGTATTTTTCTTATATAGAAGTTTTTATTTTCATGGTGGAGTATACTTGTATTGTCGATTAATATTTCTTTAAATTGTGAATGTAGAGAGGAATGTTTCTCTAAATGTCGTGCGATAGAGCTTGGATTCAACATATGTAGTGTAAGTCTCCTTGATCATGTCGTTGTCGCAAAACCAACATATATATTTACTATTATGTCAGAGATACAATCTCCCAAATGTCATTTAAATTGATATATAATGTTGGTCTTCTGAAAAAATTAGTTGACAGGGAAGATTTATTGCGGATCATTAATTTGGTAGATTATCTATGCTTACAGTCATATTATGTTGAAACATTGGTACTCATCCGATCTCCGAAGTTAAGCAACGTTGAACTGGTCTGTACCTAGTTGAGTGACCACTCGGAAATACCAAGTACTATAAGCTTGAATGTGTGGGTGGTGTAATGAATAACGACACGTAATGAGAAATCAGAGAACCGAATTCGAATTTCAGTCAGATTGGTTAAATTTACTTGCGTGCATCTAACCTTGCGAAAGACAGAGATAACACCTCTTCTCATCTCAGCTATGAGTTAAATAACAAGATAATAAGACAGATAACATCAGAAAATTATTATAATCTCCAAAAATACTTATAATCCCAAAATGTTCTTCGGCTTTAAAAAAAATAACCTTAAAACGGTTGATAAGCCGTAAAATACAATCAATCTATGATTTGCCATGAAATCTTGCAAAAGGTTTCTTAATTCAGAGTATTTATTTTTCCTATATAAAATCTAAAAAATAGAACGTCAACTTAAATTATCGAAGTATTGGAATAATATTGATCTAAAATGTCGATTTGTAAATCTCTGTTATAAATGGAAAATAGACTGGTATGCTGACGTACGTAAAAAGTATAAATTTTACCAGTTTTTTTTATATTGACTGAAATATTTTACGCACGAGAAAAATGAATATTTGTTTTAGCAATAAAAATGTACATTAGTCATAGAAACAATAAAATATCATTACAATGGTGTTTTTTTTTTGTTTGTTGTCTGCTTTTCGTGGTGATTTCTGTTTAGATGATGACATATTTTATTTTGAATGGCACTCAGCTGTTCCGCCAAAGGTCAGGGTTTCAGCATTAAATCTGTATTTCAATACTAAAACAATATTTGAAAAGAGGTGATTAAATGACTTTTTAAATGACCGTTTTGTACATAATCCCATACAAGAAGTCATTGAATAAAGAAGAAAATAACATCTGAAGCAATAGGCGGTCGGAATAAGCAAGAAAGAGAAAAAGCAGAAAACAAAGTTAACGTCACTTTGCTAAGAACGAAAAAGAGGCTTTTATTTTCCATTGACATTTTTTACACAATAAAAACTCTTTATTGTCAATGCACTTAATTAAATTGTGAATATTAATCACAGAGATTGAACATTATACAGTAAAAATATCAGCCCGAATTTCAGTTAATAACTCCAATTGTAACCATTGGTTCATATTTCATAGATAATTTTCACAAATATCGAAATATACATTTCTCGTTATTCAAATATTGATTATTATGGGTAAATGAATAACAAAATGGACAATCGCCCTGTTTCGCGATTATCCCATCGAAAATATTTTTCGGGATAATAATGTGTTTTTGTCGATAGAATCATCAAAAAATCTTTAAGTATACAAATAGAAAAAATGTCGTAAGAATTTTTTGCCGTTAACAATAACATTTAAAAAAAATCCAGACGACATGCATTTAACGGATGTCAGAATTCGTTGAAAAATACACTCCTACCCTTACCTAAATGTAACCCTTTTTCGAACGTAACTTATAATTTGATACAACAAAAGTTAATGAAAATGAACACACAACCACCCCTGTCTGGATGAATGGATTTCTCTGTATCCTTGAAAACAGTGAATGATGAATTTTTGCCGTGCCTTTAAAACACAGTAAATTTAAAAATAAGTTACTCCAAAAGTCGCTTGAGGATGAAATGGAACTAATGTTTTTAAGTTAATTACAAAATTAAATTCAATACATTTAGCTTCCATTTTTGAAACATGAGTAGAACTGGATAGCGAAAAAACATATTTTAAATTAATTTATAATATTAATGCTCTGTAAATTTATATTGAGCACTATTTTGTAAAAATAAAAATATCTGTAGGAACAACGGATTATATATCTTACTGTTCTTTCTTTCTTTCTTTATATATATATATATATATATATATATATATATATATATATATATATATATATATATATATATGCCGGGTGTAACAGCAAAATTGTCCACATCGTGTAACAGTATCCATCTCAAAAAATTGTTTAATAGCTAAAAAACTACTAAACTAATTGAGTTACTTTTTTTTATTGTTTTAAGATAAGGCGTTTAGCCAACTTAACACAATTTGTCGTAAGAATTACTGAAAAATCCTTTGAGTTATTCAGCTAGAAATAGAGCAGAATAAAATCGTTTTTTGTCCACGGCACTGTGCAATGATCAGAGGGAAAAGATCATTCAGGCCTTCAGTAATGATACCAACATTAATACTCTGGCTTCCATCACCAAAATCCATTAAAAAATCATCAAGGGAATGGTGAATAAGTTTAAAAATGAAAGAACAGTAGAGGAAAACTAGATCAGGAAGTCGCAACAGGAAGAGGGATCATCAAAGAGATTAATTAGAAAAGATCCAACTCAATTCATAAGACGTTTGAAAAGTGTGAGAGAAGCCTTACCTATATCAGTGCAAAGAGCAGTAAAAAAAGACTGGAAAATGAAATCGTACGTGAAACCAGTGAGGCATCTTTTTACTTCAGGACGGAAAGGTAGAAGGTTAGAAAGCGTGAAGATCATCTTGAATAAGTTGGAAAATGATCCTGGAAGATATATATATATATATATATATATATATATATATATATATATATATATATATATAAAAAAAGGCCGAAACACTAATATTCCATGGTTATAATTTATTCCATTGGAATCGTAATAACGATCCAATTCATCATACCTACAAATTCAAAAAAAGAAATCGGAAAATATTACTCCGGGTATAAAAAACAAAATTTTAGTGTGAGTGTATGTGTGGAAGTGGGAAACAAGTGTGAGAGGTAATTGTATGAAACCTCTAGAGAGAGGTTTAACAGAAGAAAGAAGAACAGGAAGCCCTAAAGGTGAAGGTGGGGATTAAAATTTAACAGAGAGAAGTTTTAAAGAGAGGAGTTAAATAACGGTTTAAATGAGGGAGATACAGATAAATATGAATTATTTTTCGATGCATAATTCGCTACCGATTCGCTGACCTAAAATTAAAAACAGACTCCGGTAACGTGTGGATACATTTGTGGTGACACTACGCAATAAATAACGATATGATCTAAACTTAAGATCCAGAAGATGAAAGAGAGGGAAAAAAAGTGGGGGGGGAGTCGCGCAACCTAAAAACGAGGGCATTTATAAGAGGATTGATGTGTAATCAAGAAAATTTGGCAAAGCAAGTAATATCACCTACAGGTTACGAATTTAACACAAACATATAAAAATTAAAGAATATTTAATCTAGTAAGGACCTACTATTTATATGCCCAAAAACACATACGTAAATACACACACACGCAACAACATATCTATATGAGTTTGAGCCTTTTATATTATATTCTTACTCTGTCCTGGACATTGAGTTCTACCTGGATTCTATCCTCTTGGAATTTATATATATATATATATATATTGACCACTAATATTATCAATATATATATATATATATATATATTGAAATTTATTTCAATCTTTCATGTACTTCTGATCCTTAGCTATGATTAATTACTGATGAACATATCATTTTCGTTTATGATCGATTTCGTCACGATTCTTCTGGTAAGCTTAGAGAGTAATTAGATATTCTTATTGCTCAAAGTAGAGTCTAATAGTATTATAAAAATCTCGGAGATTTCCAGTAAGATATCTTTAATCATTTCCACGATACAACGGTTTAAAGCTTAATCTAAACATTGGACAGTTTTTTCTGTTACACGATTTAGATAATTTTGTATATATATATATATATATATATATATATATATATATATATATATATATGTATATATACGTGTGTGTGTAACTGAAGGGAAATAAATACAACAAATCTCAGTTACAATTCTACCTCAAGAGAACCGGAAGATATAGTGACGCTTGATTTTAAATTTTGGCCTACGATTTATCTCGTTGCATAAACTAGCAGACCAAAAACACTTTTCTGTCGTTTTTGTTGTTGTCTTTATCGCTGTTTTTTTTAATATCGCAAATTGAAATACCAAATATTTTGTTAGGGAAATAAGAAATGGATATATATACATATACAAAACATTATTTAGCCTTTCGAAGGACGAAGCTCGTAACATTTCCAAGATTCTGTCATTCAGTTCTTCCATTGATTACTATGTATATCTTTCTAACTTCCATTTATTTGCATTGATTTTAACGTCAAAATAGATATTAGTCATTACTGTGTTTTCGTATGTGTATATGGGATTACCCAATTTGTCAACCGATGGACATCGCTTAACGCCAGGTGGCGTTCAATTAAATTTAAGACTATAAAAGAAAAGGGAATAAACTCTATCTTTCTTTTGCTCTCTTGTCCATAGGTGCAATCGGTACAAAACATTGTCCAGTCTTATTCTGGGTTGACATTTTCTGAGCAAGCCGCCTTTTGCCAAACAAGGCGGCGCGAAAGCGCACATGCATTATCATAAATTATATACTTTTTCTTTTCTTTTTTTTTTTTTTAGATATTTGTATAGGACAATTCATTTTCTCTTCTTTTGCGAGCTATAATGTTCTTTACATCAAAATATATGAACATCTACGTGCTGAATTCATTTAGGGTATTGTAGACATGCTTGTTGGATTCCCAATCAACGACAACCCCAGTCGGTAGGGTTTAAATCAGGAGAGCTAGGGGGCCAAATGGTTGGGTGGGGGTAACATCATCGTGTAAGTGTTTCGTCCGAATTACATGGTTCTCCTCTGAACTACCCTCGCCACATAATATCTGATGTCTTCGTGCACCACGAGACATCGGACTGATGGGTAGTGGCCATCAATGATTTTCAGGAGTTCTCGTCGATGACACCTGCTGGACGAATTCAATATTTTAAACAATGTCCGACCTTCGACAATATAGTTTCTTCTGGTCACTGTAGATACATTTTACCTGAGTCGCCTTTCCTACATGAAGGACATGGCGGCATTTAAGAATGCTGCAATCTGGGTGCTTGGACGCTAAGGAAACGACAACGGCATGTCTTTTCATCTCCTTCGTCAGAGTCGAAGCTTCCATGGAGGGCGGCTGAAAAAAAAGAGACAACGTTTTTAAAGTCTGTCACTTCTGGCTTTCTAAAGATGTATTCTCAAATACCTGACGCACCATCAAGGAAAGCGCGAAATCTAAAAATTCTCATATAAAAGCACTCTCTCCTCATTCGACGTTCTATTAATATTAAAATAAAATTACAAAGCAAATTAAATAAACAGAATAAGAGATGAAAAAATGTCCTAAAATATAATTAACAAGAACAAACCACTAAGGGCTTTGCTTGCGTTAATCTAAGTTGCCGTCTAAAACGGTTTATTTTATTTTATTTCGTACCTAATTAACCTGAACAGAAGTGAGCCTGAACAGCCGCTTATGGTCAGGTGACATTTAGAGAGGAAAGCTTACGTCAGAAAACATAACAGGTCGGTGGTGTGTCTTGCTCTTTGCGACAGGGTGATAGATTACCCACAAGAATGTTTTATCACTTATACACAAACACACACACACACGCACGCACTGTCTCTCCCATGAACATGATATATATATATATATATATATATATATATATATATATATATATATATATATATATATAAGGGCTATATTCAATAATTGAATGACAAAATGATAAATGTAATGACTTTTGTTAAACGGAATAAAATAATGTTTTTTATTGCTGGAATTATATATATATATGTATATGCGTGTGTGTGTGTGTGTGTGTGGCGAGAGGTGGTAAATATAAAAGTAAATAACGGTTATAGTTGTGCACCGAGAGGAAAAGCTGAAGATATATGGACGATAAATTTAAAAATTTCTGGCGTCCGACGTGTCTAGTCGCACAGCCAAGCCGATCCTCATCCAGTTTCCCAACGCTACTGATTTTGCATTTATCGCTGCTGTTTTAAATATCCCACACTGCAGCAATAGAAGGTGAAATATTTAAGAAACTGGACACAAATTTACCGTGGAAGACTCAGAAATCAGTGCACATTTGATACATATTCACTTTAGTAATTTACTCTTTATTTTATTTAAATCTCCATTATTTAAGTCAGAATTATGGTCAGATTCATTACGACGAATTATTATTGCATTATATATACATACATGGAGAAATGGAACAGTGGACAAAGATTTTTAAACGCTTTTCGCCTTCTTTAGGTAGGCGTCAGAAAGAAAGGCCTTCATTCTGACCTGATAACGTCTACCTGACTAGCTCACAAAGGCGAAACGTGTTGTCAATAAAAAAGCTTTTCCAGTTTCCACTTTTGTTCAGATTTCGGGTTCTATATGCAATTTGCATTGTTCCTTTTACTAACGACTATCAATACAATTACAAAATTATACGTTAGAGTGACAGATCGTAGGGCAATATTTAGTAAACTTGATTTTAGTAATTAACTCATTAGTGAGACCTCCATACAGAAAGCAATCTTTCTCGCTAAATAATTGTAAAAAAGAAATGCACACTCATCTATCCATATACACATTTGTATTTATATACACTCATGTTGATATTAATGGATAAATGTACTCAGATAAATGTATTTTTATCGATTCACACTGTCATATTTATGCCTTTCTCTCTATATATATATTTCCGTTTATATCCCAATATATGTACTCCTAAAAGTAAGAATATCGCACGAATACACGCGTGTGCACGCACACAGAAGCAGGCATGCACACACACGCGTGTGCAAGTATACACACGCAGGCCGCATACAGAGGCGTGTGCTCGCACACACACTATTTTGTATGCCTACATAGTTGTTAAGAGTAGCTGATAGGAAAGGCTGTGCTAATCTCTTCCATCAAAGAAAATGGTCGATGTAACTATGTGTTGCTGGTGATGTTAGGCTGTGTGTCACGTTGACATGATTGACTTGAACATGACATTTTTGCTAAATTATCAACAGGTTGAAAACTGGGAAAAGAGAAGCTGGAGTTAAAGAATAATGATGAGAGAGAGAGAGAGAGAGAGAGAGAGAGAGAGAGAGAGAGAGAGTCATGAAACGGGGAGAGAAGGAATGGCAAAAGATGCGAAAGACGAATGCAAGAGAGAAAGAAGAGAATGGAAATGAAAACAAAGGGAGAATAATTGCTTTCTACCAACAAAATAATATTTATCGTAATAAAAAATTACATTGAGTGTAAGATAAGAGGAAGCAAAGGCGAATACAGCATTTTGTCGGGCACATTTTCTATTAATGACGATGATTAATTGATAGAAATGTTCATCAAAACGAGATTTGCAAGATATCGAAAAGAGTGGAGCTTTACACGCTATGGCAAATACAGTAGATTTACTCAGTCTGTCTATATATAAAATTCTATGACTTTTGTTAGTCTGTCCATCACACCTTCTAAAATAGCACACATTGACCGATCGAAACCAAAGTTTTGGGAAAAGTGCAAACAAGTAAGAGATTATAAATCAGTTGGTTTTACTAGGGTGCCTGGCTTAGTACAATAAATTTTTGTTAATTTTTTTGGAAAAATTAGGCTTTATCATTTAGTATACGAAATACTCCCACTATTTTAAAAACAATTTAGGAATTAAAATAACAAATACTTATTTAATAAAAATGCAGTAATTTTTGCATATCTTTTCTTTAAGTTTCAGTTCGGATTGCGTTTGCTGGATCTATAAACAAATCACAAGGTCAAATGAAATGCCTCAAAAACTTATTTTCGCATGGCTAGTTGTATGTTGAATGCTCAAGAGTAAGAAATCCTAAGAATTTATTCTTCGCTGTTAAATTAAAAGGAAAAAAAAGAAATTTTCTTAAAAATTATTGTTTACCACGATGTCTTACAAAATTTAATTAAAGGAAATTATTAAACCGCGAAGTACGGTTTTTTGTCAAAGTATTTTTCTAAACAAATCAGCTTAATTCAAATTTCATCGATTGATTTCGCGAAATTGAACGAAACGTAGAGTTTGTAAATCTTAACAACAAATGTTAGCGTTAACTTCAAGAATTCTAAATACTGTCAGGATTTCAATACGCGTCATCGTGTTTATCCCAAAAATTCTAGTTATATAAAATGCAGACATTTAATTAAACAGAGCTCATGCAGATATATATTAACACACGCCCATATATTTCACAAACAATAGGCAAATAAATGTCCATGGCAAAAGTGAATATATATACATACAAATATACATATGAAATCCACACACACACACACACACACACACATATATATATATATATATATATATATATATATATATATATATATATAGTGAAAGTCCTCAAATTAGGTGGTTGCTGTTATTTGGTACAGTTAATTGTTTGTGATTGTGTAGCGCCAGTCAACAAGGTTTCTAAAAAGAATAGTCTTCACCAAGATCCTGATTGATCTGAGAAAGTGGTTTCATATACATAAGGTGCAGTTAGATGCTCTCAGGAAGTTTTTTCTCTCCCTTACATTCTCCCTAACATTAGTTTCAAAAAATATTAATTATTATTATTATTATTATTATTATTATTATTATTATTATTATTAATTTTCCCTCCTAATATTTAATATTCTATTTTATACTTTCATGGAAATTGCTCCGAGGAGCTGTATTCGCTGGTTCCCAGACTTCATGAGTTCAAGCGCCCTACGAGGCTGGCATCCCGCTCTCACCCCTTCACTGTCGAAACTCCTAAATGTAGCCGTCTCTTCTACTCTAATAGCTTCATGTCTCGCACCTCTCGCCTGTGGAACTCTCTTCCCATCTCCTGTTTCCCTGTGAGTTATAATCTCCAGCTATTCAAGTGTAATGTCAATCGACATCTCCAGTTGCCTTAATCTATCTACTACCCTCATCCTTTCTTCTATCACTCCTATCTGATCTTCCTATTTTCTGTAACCCCTTGCGTCCTAGTGGCTTCCCGGCTTGCTTGGGGTGAAATGCTTAAAAAAAATATATATATTTATAAATAATGTCATGGGTTTTAACAAAGATATAACATCAAAAGAGAAACAGAATATAGTAAAGTTATTGGGCGAAATAGTGAAGACATCGAACAGAGATTATAGAATCTATCCATCTATCTATCTCTATATATAAAATTCTGTGATTCCCGTTAGTCCGTCCGTCTGTCACGCCCTTTAAATAACATTACATTGACCGATGAAAACCAAATTGTGGAGAAATACAAACCGCTAAGGGTGTACAAAGTACAGTTGGTTTTACCAGGGGGCATAAAAACCGCGAAGTCAAAGCATTTTTCCAAACAAATTAGCTTCTTTAAATTTCATCGACTGGTTTGAGAAATGGAATGAATCGTAAAGTTTGTAAATCTCGACAACAAATGTTAGCGATAACTTCAACAAATACTCTGAGGATTTCAATACGCTTCATCGTGTTGCAAAAAATTCTAGTATTAAAAATAGATAAGATTTACTAATATTGAAATTGGTAGAGATTTGTACGATATTTGAAATGGGGATATTTTGCATTATATAGGAAATAGGGGAGATTTGTCCAAAATTAGAAATATGAGAGGTTGCAACGAAATGGAGAATAGGGGAGATTTACCCGAAAAATAAAAATAGGGATATAAACACGATATAAAAATAGAGTAAATTTGCCCAGTATTTGAAAAAGGAGAGATTTACCCGTTATGGGAAAGAAAGGAGTTTTTCCTAACATTGGAAATAAGACTAATTGGCACGATATGGAAAATAAGAATGATTTTGTAGAATTCAGAAGTAGATTTACTTATATCTTCAGGTAAAAAGATAGATTTTCAGGCTTTCAGAAATAAGGGCATTTGCCAGGTATGGTAAATAGCGGATATTTTATCAATTTTGAAAATAAGGTATATTTGTAGGGTTTTAGATGTAGTAGTGACTTGTCTTTTATGTAAATATGTATCTCCATAACTTCCATATCTGTACATCCGTTTCCTATTCTCTGCTTATTCACAATTCTTTTCTCTCTGCCGTTTTATCTATTTAGGTTGGCATTTTTATAAACGTTTTTCTCTCGTTGTTATTTTTTCTACTCTTTTTCTCCCTGTCTTGGCTTTTTTTATACACGTTTCTCTCTCGCTGTCCTTAACTTCGTCTCTTTTCTCGATAGCTCTTCCTTTTAAACTCTATTTCTCTCTTCCTTCCTCGTTCTGTATACCGATCTCTCTTTGCGATCATCAGAGTTTGTATGACGATCACAAATAGTGTGAAACCCAACTAAATATGTTAGCTCTATTACAGATATGTAATGCTTTCCAATAAGTACCGCGCACATATAATATATAAATAATACATATAAAAATATATATATATATATATATATATATATATATATATATATATATATATATATAAATATTATATATATATATATATATATATATATATATATATATATGTGTGTGTGTGTGTGTGTGTGTGTGTGTGTTTTTCATTTTTAATATAGCATGAATAAAAGTGAAACATGTTAGACTGATAAACGCTTCCTACTTGTTCTTTATCTTATCATTCTGTCGGATTCCGATCCATATTTTATCTACATTTGATCACAACTTATATATATATATATATATATATATATATATATATATATATATATATATATATATATATATATATATATATACAAAATATATTTATTTATTTATTCAAAATCATTCCTGAAGAAAATGCAACGACATAAAATTATCAGTAAATAACCAACGTAAAGAAATTATGCTTTACTCCTCTTCAAAGTATTCTTTTGGGACATCATTCACTTACACTTCCATTAAAAAACAAATACGCAAAGCCCTATTTCGGAACTTTCTTGAACGCTCTGCGCGTTCCCCACCATCTCTTCCATGGTCTGTAATTTCCCTTTGAAAGGCAGGCGATAATAGTTCTGGGAAAAGAGAAAAACAATGAACAGATGCCAGAACAAGCCAAAGAATAGAGATGGAGCTCATACAGCCAGGTGTAATGCGATTCGTGAATAAATGAAGAGGTCATTGTCATGATAATTGTGCCGGTCACAAATTGATCCCTTAATAGTATCTCCCTGCTGACTGAGTAACTCCACCAGAGGGTTTTTGTTCACTCATGCGTAGTAAGATCCTTTATTGGTTGCGAAGTGAAATGGTTGCGAAATATTCAGAATGACCGGATATTTTGTGGCTATTTCTCGTATGTATCTAAGCCATAAACAAGCACATAGAAATGCAGAAAATCTCTATCAACATAAAATAAATGACATTTACTGTTTTTTTTAAACCAAGAGAAATAGAATAAATTGGATCCTGCAGTCTATTTTAAAGTTTCAATCACATCGCAATGAAGTGAGAACTTCAAAGCAAAGCCTTTAATTAAAAGCAAAAAAGAACTTAGGTCAGTGTCTTGGCGCAGATGAGGTATAAAGAAATGTTGCCAAAGGCAAATCTTTACATCTTTTTCAATTGTAAAACGTCTATTTTAAAACGCCGCCTTATTTACCGATGATGAAAAAAAGCGTAAAATGCACTGAAGAGAATTTTGAACCGGTGAACGGGCATTTGAACTTCGATAATTATTCTCTTTTCTCATTATAGTTACTTTCTTTAAGGTAGGTAACCCCAAAGATTCGCTAAAAGGAGAGCATACCACGATGAAAAAAATGGCTAAACTTAATAAAAAGTTTTATCATCAAAATTAAGAGGAAAGACTAAAGGATTTTTAATTATTAAAGTATATTTTTGATCCTTTTTAGAACGTTCTAAATTTTGGTTAAACATTTTCATTTTCTTGCGTCAGCCTGGGACCATAAATTAGTAAAAGTCATTTAAGCGTCTTTTTTAGCGGTCAAAAAATATTGATTTGGAAATTTTTGCAATAATTGTCGGATTTTAATGAAACTTTCAGGACTTATTCACAAATGAATTAAATTATTTGAGAAATGTTTCTTTTTCAGAAAATCTTGGTACTTTTTTTCTTACATCTGTTGCTCCCCACTTATTTTTATAAAATTTCGAGAAATTATTTTTTTGACCGCTTAATGTTTATATTAGTTACAGGCAGA